CTCGATACGATGATTTTTCGCTGAGAGATTCGCATTTGAAGTAAGAATCTGCCTTTTTCTTCAAATGCGAATCTCTCGGCGAAAAATCATCGTATCGAGATGCATAAAAAAGCATTTTAAAGAGGAGACTCTGTACTTTCGTACGCTTTTGATCCCAATAAGCTACTATTTTTTGTTTATACCGTGCACCGTCGCAAACTCAAACCATTATTTTTCAATTTTGCATGCTCGCGCTTTGTCATCCGCCATTTTCAATAAATTATTTTGCAACATTGAAATAAATTGATTCTTAAAGTAGAGATTTTTAGCTTCATTTTTTATATTTTATAGAACTTTCTATCTTTATTATTTACGAAGTTATCGTCAGTTGAAATTTGATGAATTTTTCCCACATTTTCAGTGTACCGCTTTTTTTCGGGTGAGTGTAGATTACACATCTTTCATATTCGCGAATTCTTGATTGACACTTTATACTTTATTCTCTCACGAGGCAACTTGAGATGTTGGCACGCGAGTTGAAAAGACAATCAGCCGCAAAGGTTGACGTTTACCTGGACAAACAGAGACAAGTCTTCTCCCAACAGCATGTCCCTGCAGACGTCCTTAGCTGTGGTGTCCAGAGTAAGATATACGAGGCTGCTCTCGATCCCCGTGTGTATCCTCACCCACCCGCTTCCGTTGCCGACATCCACCCCGACTCCCGAATCCCAGGAGGAATTGAAGGTATCCTGGAGGTTGGCGGCGTCCTTCGTGCCTTTTGCACTCGAGGGACTGCGACTCTGTATAGAATCCGTGCTGAAGCTGTCCTTTTCCTCGCTGCTATCCGCCGGCGTCAGCTGCATCCTTTCGTTATCGAATCTGTCGATCGTCTCGTCCAGTTTCTCCAGAATCTCGTTCTGCAGAATCTTCTCCTCCACTGTAATATCCCCGCTCCTTGTTCGCGCATCTTTTAGCACATCGATCCGATCAATCTCCGAAGCATCATCCTTCGCGCTCTCCTTCGGGCAATCGTCCTTCGATTCATTATTACCCAGATCACAGCTCTCGGGATACAGTCGAGAGTTCTCCAAACAATTTTCAATTGCGGTTGATTCGATTTCCATCGATAGGATATCCTCATTCGCGTAGAAGACCGAACTTCCTTCCGACAGCCGTTCTTTCTTGTCTCTCGGCTTCGAATATATTGACAATTGAGCTTCCTCGTCTTGGTAGGAAAAATTCTCCTTAACCGCCATACTAAAATTTGCATTTTCGCAAACGATCCTGCGATTGGGCTTGTACGCAGCTCTTGAACTGTCTTCTTTCTTCGCTGGATCTTTAGCACCCATCTTATTGTAATAATCCTTCGGAAAAGTCGATTTATTAGTATTTATCGAGCCACAAGTGTTTTGCTTGAAAAAATCTTTCTTACAAACATTCTGATTGGAAGCATCCTGTTTGGAAACGTTTCGTTCTTTCCGATCACTCGTTTTACAAGCTGTCTTGTTTTTCTTTTTGATCTCCGAGTAAATGTGCTCTTCAGGATCAATTTTGTTCTTGTTGCGGCTCTTCACAGCCTGTTCTTTCGTATCTTTAGAATGTTTTGATCTTTGCTGAAATCTCTCATAGTTAGCCAAAATCTTTTGATTGAGCTCATGGATCAATTCGAGCCGCTTCGAAATAGAGTCTCCAGGTTTGTTCTTGGTGCGTCTCTTCGTCGTGTCGATATTGTCCTTTTTAGGCGCATCCTGCCGCCTTTGCTTCCTCGTCGCGGAGTTACGATTGAGAAAACCGATTTCGTACTTCGAGTCGCTCTTGAGAACGTTATCGTTCGCTGCCTTGATCTCGATTGAACAGCCGCGTTGCTTCCGATCGACGTTCGACGGATATCCCGATACATTCATCAGCTCCAGTGTCGGCTTGTCCGATGACAATGGCGATAATTTCGTTCCGCGATTTCGTTCCAAACATTCGCTGATCTTCGATCTACCTTCAACTTCTCTTCTGCGATTCTCACTAAACTCTATGCCTTTCTGGTTGTCGGGACGAATCGCTAATCCAGTACTGGAGCCGCTGCTTAAGCTGATCCTCTCGTTCATTTCCCAGTTAATCGGTAATCTGTTCCTGCTGTTATCATCATCCACGCTCTTGTTCGCCGCGGGGTAAATACCGAGCTTCTGATTGAAGTCTTGGCAAGCAGGATAGTCGTTCGAGTGATTCACAGTAGTTCGTAACTTTAATCCTCTGGTGGACGACAATCGACGAGATCTTCGTAACTTTACAGATGACGAAGGAGCAATTGTCTGGTTGTTTGATGCGCTGGCAATCAGCATTGTCGTCGTGGATTTTTCACCAGATAGAAAAATATATTTTTTTGAGAGATTTCAGAAAAAAGAAGAGCTCTTTCCGATTTGTTGAAGCAGTTACGCTCGGATTTTCCACTTTGCTTTAATTTTTGTATTTAATAAAATAGACGGTGTGTTCGGAATTTGTTATTCTTGTTACACTTGTTAGAGTTTTTCAAGTAATCGTTCAATATATTATTAAACTAAATAATTTGAATTGTAAAATTTTCACTTTGTTAATTCATAAAATTACTCGGATACTTAAAATCCTCTATTAAATTATTAACAGTTTAATTAATATTTTATATCAAAAGTTTGTTCTTCTGGATTAGCTGTTACATGAAACTTTTATTTTAATTCATTTATTTATTAATCCTTGGTTTCACAAATTTTCATCTCATTTAATTTTTTATTTCTCATCTTGTGTAATATATTTTGATGTAATAAAAAGTTTATACCGTTATAAAATTAGTTTATCAGTATTTTATATCTTTTTTTATGAAAAGAGATAAAATTTTACAGCGTTGTACAAAGTTAAGATCAGATTTTAAGACTTCTTGTATTTTAAATAAGTAATATATATGTATAAAATTCCTAAAAATACGCCATTTTGATCAAATCTCGTATTTATTCGACGTATAGTTTATGTATGATCTCTCAGCAATGTAATTAATTAATAATTGTGTTATATAACTGTTATATAATTGTGTAATTTCCTTAATTAGCATGATAAATGCAAGAAGATGAGCAAATTCTATCCCACATGATAGAAATAAATGATAGAAGCTTATATTTTAGTGCATACGTGAAACGCGAAGTAGTTGAGGCAAACAAACGACACCAGCGTGGAATTTACAAGATTACAGAAACAATTATGCTTTGCAGAATAGCAAACTTTCCACATGACGGTCCACAGAACCGCGACAAATCGTCGGTAAATGACTATGCTGATATTATAGTGAATGTTTTCGTTTTCGTGTACACGGTACACAATAAGTTACACGAAACGAATAATAAGTTTGAAAAATTATTTCAACTTGGCTAGCTTGAGGAAAGAAAGGAGTACGTATTTTCTTGACAACGTTAATAAAATAGTACAAAAGACTTGTTTACATTAAGCGGCAATTCACGCAGAATGATCCGAAATATGTCAATTTTTTGATGACGCGCATAGTAAAATAAAAAAATAATCTAGTTTAGAATAAGCGACAACGCACGTAAAAGAGAAACCATATGGAATGTTATGCCTGAATGCTCGTTTTAGCAGCACTAACGTTCATGCGTACACAATAATGCAGCCAGTAAAATACCCACATAAATAAAAATAAATGTTATAGATTAAATTTGTTGAATGACGTTCAGATAATTAAAATGTACAAATATGTTGACTTAAAAATGTATTAATAATTATTAAATTATTAAAAGTTCACACAGTATTATAATAAAATCAATATTCTTCATTATTATTTCAATATTTTGCATGTCTTAAAAATATATATTGAATAAAATTAAAAATATATCATTTACATATTTTTTCTTATTGTTGATATCTTTTGGCATAAAATAAATTAGAATATTGATAAATTGATTAAAGATAGTTAAAAAAAACAGATTTTTAAAATATTTTTAATATTTTATGCACGAAATGAATAAGACATTATTTAGAAGATACCGTGGTTAAGTACGCTGATTATTTATGTTCCATATCGAAAGCTCTTATGATAAATCTGTCTCGCGCCGAAACGTGACGTCTAGTCGATCTCGTGACGATACTGCACGCTGTATCGCGCGCGCGCGCGCGCGTCTTCGCTGATCGGAGAATTTCGATCTCAACAGAGAATTACCTTCCAGATACCACCGAGGTGAAATACATAACCGTGAAACGTGTGAAAGTAATCCGCATGAAACAGGCAGGCGAGAAAGAAGATGCGAATACGTGTTGCACTTGCGGCTTCGAATCACGTAGCCATGCTTTCTATTTATCTATCGTCCTATAGCCGAAAAGAAATTCGTCTTAAGTTTATCGCCGCGCTCGCCGGGAAAATTTATATCGAGGAGAGGGCAGGGAAGAAAATAGGGAGCTTCCTTTCTCACGAAATACGAGTTTCCGGGGCGTGTCGCGTTATGCTTCGTATAAATTGAGCGACAAGGGCGTGGAGCAACACTCGGATGATGCCATGTCAATGAGCAACAAGCTCATATGAATAAGCTGAATCACGATTGTGGCGTTAAAAAAATGGAAATGAGGTGCTTCCCTTTGTGGAGCAATTTTTCGTCTCAAGAATATCATATATAACGTACTGAACATGCGATAGCATAAATAAAAGCAAGATTTATTAATTTTGACGATACAAGTAGATTCTTAACATACATAAAACTTTCTACTTATAAATTTCATATTATGGATGCATTATTGTAATTTTTTAACATAAAAATATAAATTACAATTTTCCCCCACTTCTTTATACTTTTATTTGGATGAGTGTGCTATAATGTAATTTGATATGTGATTTAATTCCAATGTTAATTCATTGTTTTGACTGGAAATTAGCTGGCATGTAGAAATCGTATAAGCCCGACAGCGCAATCTTGTCAACAAATATTAACTATAGCGAGTGTAATCATTAACGACAATGCTATAGGTAGCCATTTGTCAGCAAAGCAGTGGCCGCAACAATTTTCATCGAGTCACCTGTCAATATTATTGAACAAATATTTCCAGCTAACAGAATTCGGTGGAACACTCCGATCGATATTCATTATCTAGCGAGAGGAAATACTGAAATCGACAGATCGCGAGAACGTAGCGATCGAGATCTACTCCGAATTTGGTAAAAGTAAAATGAATTATTAACACATATAGTATTCTTGTGTAACTCTTGTGTAAAATAAGAGGATTATTCCTTGATACCAATTGTATCAATCTAAAAATGTATGATATCTTTTAACAAAATTAATTTATAAAATATTTAATTCATCTTTTATTCTCCAAAGTTAATTAAAACCAGGGTATATTAATTTATTTGGTTTCAAATAATTAAATTGATAGCCGAAAGAGAAAATAATATGGGAGTTCTGTAAAATTTTGAGGTCCAGGTTAACGAATCGTTATATTAATTATGGATATGTTTGTGCAACCGAAATAACTTTGTGAAACCAAGAATCTCTCTCTCTCTCTCTCTGTATATATATATCTATATATTTTTTTAAGAGAGCTTTCAGATTGAATTGTTTTTTATAGCCACTTATAAACTGCACTTTGTAAAATTATTTAGGCGTCAAATTGAAAACCACTTGGACTGTCTATTTTGACAATCAATTGAGAACTCTTGTCCAAACCAAGAAATCAATCGACCAGAGTTGAATCGCGTGCGATGTAAATTTACTTCCGTTTCTTAATTTACATCGAACACGTAACAGTTACAAATGCAATTTATTTGATTTTTTCCTCACTCACTTACTTTATTTCAGCTTTACACTAATAAACTCATCGATTAATTTGTGCAATTCAAAAACGTAAAGAACATTCGGAAATCTTTAATCCAATTTGTACTTTTATCATTAAACATCAATAATTCCGTTTGTAATCTTCGCACCAATAATCTCACAAAAGACACAAAGAAAACCGGCGCGATGTTAAATTTACAATCAGACACGTCGATTCACGAGGTAGTCATCACGAACACTGGCCAGAGTTCAGGATTGTCGTATCGCACCCGGCATCATGAATACATCGCCGAGCCACCTGTCTCTCTGTTCTACCTGTTGTCTGTTAGAGGATGGAAGCGGAAGAAAGGGAGAGAGAGAAAGACAGAGAGAGAAAGGGAGAGAGATAGCGTGCCCCAGCTGGAGGGAGGAGAGAAGGTCCCTCCGCCGACGGTCTTTCCTTTCCACGTGTTTGCGTCACGTGTTGAAGCTTAAAGAAAGAAAAGGACGTCATAATGCGCAGTATCCTACCAGCCGGTGACCCTTCGAGTTCCCCTTCGGGGGAATCAATGGCAGCGGAATGATGTACTTCCGCTCTTGATGCCGCTCTTGGCGAATAATTCGGAAGGATGATTGAATTTCGAAAATGTCTGAGAGAACGAGCGAGTGAAGATATTGCGCTGGGAGGTCTCGAGATTCACCAACCGATTCTTGAATACGAAATTTTGAAGACCACTCCGAGATCTCAAGATGACGTGTTCCGAAATCCTTCGGTTTCAAGGATTCAAAGATTGCCTTTATCAATACCCGGTAATTTTAACCAACCGTAATTCAACCAACTCTTTATCTTAATTATGGAATTGAAAAAGAGAAGAGGTAAAAGGATAAATTATGCTTGAAGTTAATCGAGACCTTCGTAGAACCTACGGTTATTAGAGACTTATTACAGCACGCAAACAAGCATGATAATTGAGACTCTTGTGTAAATAGGACAACAAAATTGACTCTCAAAATCTGCGAATATACTGCTTTACGATAATTCCATAAATAAAAAATGCTTTTTTTTAACGACTCATATATGCGTTATTAACACTTGAAACTATTAATTATTTTGCGCACAATAACTATCAAAAAATTTACTTTTCAAAAATAAAGTTTTAGAAAAATTATAAATCTAATTTTTAAAAAGCAAATGTCACTTTTACAATTGCAGCGCAATTGCATTGCGCAAATATAGTCATATTCGGATTTGCGGTACATTTCACAAGTGAAATGCATTGTCTCTGAAAGCGGTTGAAGAGCGTTACGCTGGAACGCAACTCGACACGAAGGAGAGGCCATTCCCACGCGCCTCTTTCAACTCCCTTTCTCGGGCAAAGCGGCGTGTCCACCCTTTCAACTCAGGAAGCGGTTGCACGGGCGCGCCTCGCGTGTTTGTGCGGTCACCGAAAAACGGCCAAACGATTTGACGTGTTCGTACGTGATCGCGTACGCGAGTAACTCTGCAATTCGAATCGCCAGAGTTGCAGCTCTTCACAAGAGCTACAAGTTGTAATACAGACTGCAAACTCGCAGCTGTAAACTCGAGAATTATTGCCTTTGCAATCTGCGGTACACAATAGTAACTAAAGATCTGAGGAAAGGAAGAATTTATGAAAACAACAAAGCTCATGCCGTATGAA